TGTGTGTGAGTCTGTGTCTCTGTGTGTGAGTCTGTGTCTCTGTGTGTGAGTCTGTATCACTGTGTGGAGGCTGTGTGTGTGTGCGAGGCTGTGTGTGTGCACAGTCTGCTGTCCGCGAAGGCTGCCTCGCTGCTGCTTTGAGGTTTCTAACTGGATTTATGTGTGTGGGGAGTGTTGGTGGCAGTCCGGAGGTCTCAGGCCCCCGCAGCAGAACATAGGTTTATCCTTAAACCAGCCCTGCTTCATCATCATAAATCTTTTATTTTGTTTGCTTCAGGAAGTGTTTTGGAAATATGCAAGGAAGATAGGGGAGAATAAGGGGTGTTAGCTTTGAGGAGCAATAACAGTTGATTTCTGCACAACTGGCGGGTGAAGGTTCCATTTCTAGTGTGAGTTGTGTCCCCGTGGCACCAATCTAAACTTTTCTCTTGGGAGAGCTGGTGAGGAAATCCATCAGACAACGCGTTTGTCTCAGTGCTCGTGTTCCTCTTGCTCTGTCACATACTATGTTTCATAAATCAGCAGCTAGATTTTCACTTTTCTGTTGTGTAGTTAGTATAAGCGACTTACGTTTCTTCACCCATCTATTATTATAATTCATTTTCTTATATAATTGTTTCTGGGAAGCTGTAAGTGTTACCATGCCTCAAGGATCTGAGGATATACTACTAATAATAATACAGAAGAACCCTCCATGGCAAATTTTGAAATATATTGAATTTTCAAGTCTTAAGTGGCTTGTTTTGAATTACAGCAACTGGAAAGCAAGCAAGAATATTTATCTGTATAGGGTCAACTATATGGGTGTGGGAATTTGAGAGATGTTTGTACAACCTTTTTTGGAAACCTCCAGTGTTGGAGGCAGAGCAGTCTCCCCCCATAACTTATTTGTATGTGCATTAAATAAAGCTTTGTAGCTGTAAGGACAATAACGTACTTGAGTCCTCTACTATAATTTGAAGCCATTTCCGTTCACAACTATAAATGGTTTGGGAAACAGCTTATTTCTGTTTGCCTTAAAAGTGGTTCTTATGCTTTGTTTTGTAGGAATCATAGAATCATAGAATCATAGAATAGATTGGGTTGGAAAAGACCTCCAAGATCATCAAGTCCAACCCCTGATCCAACTCCAATTACTATATCATGGCACTAAGGGCCACATCCAATCTCTTTTTAAAAACCTCCAGGGATGGTGAATCCACCACCTCTCTGGGTAGGCCGTTCCAATGCCTGATAGGGCGTGTGTTCTTTTTAATTGTGTCTCTTCTTTTTTAGTTTGAACATTCCCAGTTACTTTAATCCTTTCTTGTATATTTGTCATTTAAGCTCAGATCATTCTTGATCCTCTTCTCTGAATTGATTCCAATTAGTTCATATGTTTGACTGGATTTGAAGGGCAGTATTCAAAATTGGATAGAGTACTCCAGCTGCATTCTAAACAGTTTGTTTGGTTTTGTTGAGGGTTTCTTGTTTAAAAAACAAACAAAACCAAGGCAAACTTCTCTGATTAGTTAAGACTAGATTTGAATTCAGAATTTTCTTCCATTATGGTTTCATGTTGTTACAACTTGCTGCCCTCTGTAATATTAAAAAAATAATCTGTAATTAATCACTAAACAATACTACTTAGGAGGATCTTCTGTAGACCTTCAATGGCCTATGTTATTTCTTGATTCTATTTTTCTGCATGACCTTACAGCCAAGATGAAAAGTAGTGTCAGTTTAATAGTAAATTGGACTTACACCACAAACTAAATCCTTATCACATAGGGAAGTACATTTTCTAACTCTAATTAGGACAAGCCTGTGTACTTGCAAGACTGGCAGGAAGCAATATTCCAAGTTTGTCTTTTGCTCTTTGATCTTCAGCAGCAGCATGTTTATTCCTTAGATGTGCAAGGCAAGAGAGCACCCTGAAATAGATGTGGAGAAGCCTGTCCTTAGTAAATAGGATTTGAAAATGTATTTGGGCCACACAGTAATGCCCATCTTGGCTCCTTTCTCCTTCCCCCGCATCCCCTGTCTGAGCCTTTAGTTTTTCACAGGGCAAACAGATCACAGCAAGAAGCTATACTCTGCTTTTGACACCTTGTACTACAGAGCATTTTCCTCATTCACGAGATAGAAACTTTAAAAAAATTATAAGCTAAATACAAAATCCCTTGTGTAATGTGCCACAGCTGTCTCTTACTTCGGACTTTTTTTCTTTGCATGCCGTTGTAGTGTTTGAGCATTTTCCTGATGTGTAAATTAGATCAGTATGACAGTCTGTTATCTGAAATTCGTCAGTCTTTACAGTTCTTCTGCGGGAGGTTTTCTTTAACAGAGGCTGCCTTGAGCTGCACAGAAACTCAGCATAGCAGCGAAGCTTTTCTGCTTTTCTCAGACTGCCTGTCTCTAGCTTCATGGTAGCACAAACTAGAAGACATTTGGTGTCACACACTTAACTCTAAATTTCCATCTTTCACACAATGTGACAACAATTGGGAGGAAAAGGGGATCTCCTAAAAGTGTTTTTTTGCTTCTTCAAAAGAAGACTGAAACTGAGTAGCTGTTAGAATTCTACAGGCAAAGAGAATAGGAAAGTAAAAGTTGACTTTCTCGACTGCTTTATCTATCCTGAAGTATTTCAGTGAGATTAAGTAAATTCTTAGTGTAGTGACAACCACATGTAAGGCAGACATCCAAATGTTACTTATTAAGGCCCACAATTATATAGGAACAGGTCTGTTAGAGGTGGAACAGTCCTACCAGATGATCATGTTTTCTTTCAGTTAAGCTTAAGAAAAGTCTTGACTCACCAGATACCTTCAGTCTTTGTGCATGTTTCTCAAATCTCATTGTAATTTTATTTAACTTGCTTTAAATTGCAGTAGGCTTTAATTCTTTGCAGTTACTTTGAATAGATGTTTTGGATATTTCTGAATTTTTAAAAACTAAGGGCATTAACTGTGAAATGACAGGGTTTGGAGACACTGGATAAATGAATTTTTTGTTCAGCTGGTATGTTGAACACATATACAGCTTGTCGTAACTTTGAGATACAGAAGACATTTCTACTAACTATAGTTTGTGGTGGTTTGATACTACAATTCACAAGTCCTGACTGTTATGCCCTTGCTTTAAAGTTTGCTCCCTCCATCCCTTTTATATAGGTAATGTAAGTAATTCTATTGTTTGTACTATGCTTGTGGACTGGAATACTTAATCTGTCTTAGATGATTTAAAAGACCAATCCCTTTCTAAGCAATACTTAGAAAACCCCAGAATTTTCCTAGTTTATAAAAAAGGAGATAATTCAGACTTGGAATACATAAAATTGTGGCAGAGAACAATGAAAATAACTTTGTAGTAAAGAAAGGCTCCGCTGAGTGCAAGGAAAAGCTTCCTATGAAGGTGACACATTGGAGCAGGAGCCTTGCTGAGATTTTGGAACCTCCCTCAGTGGAAGTTGTTAGGGCCACTTTGGAGTGGTCTTAGACATGAGGTGGCCTCATAGTGGAAGGCTGGGGCTAAATGTTTGCTTGAAGTGCTTTCTGGCTGTTCCTATGAATATTTTAATAACTTTTCTACACTCAGGAATTTGCAAAGGTATTGTTTCTTTTTTATAAGTCATTAAGCCTCAGCTGAGACACAGTAGCTTGCCCAACTGTGTTCCATCTGTTGAAAATTCAAGGAAAATTAATACTATTTCATTACTGTGGTTTAGACTAAAACAGTAATTATGATGAATTATGGTAACTACCTTTGTATTAATGACTTCACAGTATATGAATGGTTTGGTATCACAACTCTGATACTCTTGCTGTATAGTGAGATAGTGAACACAGTTTGTGTTTTTTCCATGTTCTGGAGGTTGTGTTTTTCTGATTGTAGTTCATGGCTAGTGTGTTGCTCTTCCTGACTGGCTCCAGCATTTGCCATTTGAGAGAAATCAAAAATTATTACAGTTCTGGATACAGTAGGTAAGATGCAAAAATGTGAATAGTAAATTTAACAATACATTGAAGCTAAGTGTTCTTGTCACTAACACTGATTTCTGAAGCTTCTCTTTTTCTCTCATATTCTTAAATATTGTATTTGGGAGTTAGAATTACTCCTGTAAGGAAGAAATTTTTTACAATAAGTTCTTGTGTGGGTTTTTTGTTGGTTTTTTTTAGAATATGCTTTATTTGTAAATATCATAAAATACAATGTAGCTGCGTTTAAAGCACAGGTGACTTAAACTTCATTTTCTTCTGGAAGGTAGTATAGTTTTTCTGTACCATGTGACATAACAAGTGATTACTTTGTTACAAGGAAAGTATTTTAAGTCAAGTTAAATCAAGAGTATTCTAATCTAGGTACTTTTGGTCTCTTATGTAGAAAACAAGAGACAAACTTAGCAATCATATATTAATATAAGCTAAATAATACTCTCTTTCTTGTTTTAGGGACCTGTGAGATTTAAGAATCTCTCTCCTAAGAAAATTCGCTGCTTCTACAGCCTTCCATCTTAGTGTGCAATTGATGATTTCACTTGAGACACCTATCTGAAGAAACTAACAGTAGGCAAGGTGTAATTGCCCTTTAAAAATGTTAAAAGTTCAGCAGTGTGTAACAGCTGTCAAGATACCCAAGAAAAAGCCATATATTTGTGACACGTGCTATAAACAGTTTGAAACTCCATCAAAATTAGCTAGGCATTATCTCATACATACTGGTCAAAAGCCATTTAAATGTCATGTATGCAATAAAACATTTAGGCAGCTAGTCCACCTGGAGAGGCATCAGTTAACCCATAATCTGCCTTTTAAGTGTATTGTTTGTTATAGAAACTTCAAAAATGTAATAACTTTCTTAAAGCATCAGCAGCTTCATAATGCAAATTATGAGAATGATACAAAACAAGCAGAAAACTCCATGAATTCTGAGCAAGGCAGGGTCACTTGTGGCATATTTCAGTGTTCTGTGTGCTGGAAACATTTTAAAACTGAAGAGAGGTGGATGCTGCATCAGTGTCTGAAGTCAGATCATCTACGTGGTGCCAGAAAGAGAAAGAAAACTCACACTTGTGAATCATGTAACAAGACATTTCCATCAAGATCCAAGCTAGAAAGACACTTCCTTATTCACACTGGACAGAAACCTTTTAAGTGTTCTTCATGTGGCAAATCTTTCAGACAGTCAACACACTTGAAAATTCATCAGCTCACACACACAGAAGAAAGGCCTTTTCAGTGCTGTTTTTGTCAGAAGGGATTTAAAATACAGAGCAAACTTGTGAAGCATAAACAGCTCCATGCCAGAAATAAGACTTTCCCCAGTATTGCATGCAAAGCAAAGGCTCTTAAGTATCCCAGACCACACAACCTGCTGGAAGGGAAGAGGGATAGTTTCAAGAATGCTGACACACGTGAGTCACAGGAGAATGACCCACATGATGTTCACTCAATTTATATTGTACCCTTTGAATGCCCAGCATGTGAGCAGTGTTTTGAAACAGAGCATGTTCTAAATTTGCACAAATGTTGTTATCCAAGAGACAGCAGAAGTTCAAATAATGGTACAACAGCTTGCAGACACACAGTCAACATGAAAAATAAGATCCTGATGAAACTGAAGCGTACTGGAGCAAAGGCAACAGATTTTTCTCTGACTGACAGAAAAAAAACCAAATCAGGTCATGTTAGAAATCCTGACCTGGTTGCAGCTAGAGATCAGTATTCTGATCAGCATGCCTCCACTAAACCTTCCAGGGATTGCCACAGCAACCTTGACATGCATAAGGCACTTAGTAATCAGATGAAAAGAACGTTGACTGTGCCACTACCTTGGCAAGAGTACCTGCAACCTCACAACTTGGGTGTTAATTTAAAAGGTGTGCTTACTGGTGAAAGCATGTTAAACGTTGATGATTCACTGGATAATAAAGATGATGCTTTTTGTGGTTCGTCAAATGATAACTTCTTTGATAATCCAGAAGTACGTCACTGTGCTTTTTCAGCTTCTGCTAAAAATAGACATAACAGACACAAAGTGTGTAAATGTGACAGATGTGAAAAAATTTTTCCATCTTCATCCAAACTTCAAAGACATTATCTTATACACACGGGACAGAAGCCCTTTGGCTGTAATGTTTGTGGGAAGACATTTAGACAATTAGCTCACTTAAAAAGACATCAGCTCACCCATACTGAAAAGAGATCCTGTAAAAGCCCCATTTGCCAGGTAGAATTTGAAAACCCGAACAAACTTTTCAATCATCAGGGAGATCACATTGAATTTAAGTCTTCTCAGCCTGTGGCTTATTCTCAAACACCTTCACAGCCATCTGGCTTTCAAGAATTTGAGCTGCTTCAGTCAAACCAAGCAGCTGAAATCAAAGTTGAAATCGAGTCGGGGAATTTTGTGCTTGACACCAGCAGTAGAAACCCACAGCTGTATTTGTGTAGTAAATTGTTGGAAACAGAGCAAAGCTGTTACAGTTATTGGCATGATTTTTCTGAAGGTACTGAGAAAAGTGAAGTTGTTAACAAATTGTATCAATGCAGTATCTGCTTTAAAACTTTTAAATCTCCTTCTAAGCTTGAAAGACATTACCTAATGCATGCTGGACAGAAACCTTTTCAGTGTTTAGTTTGTGGAAAACAATTCAGACAGACCCCACATTTGAAAAGACACCACCTTATTCACTTTAAAGAGCTTAAAGCTTAGCTTCACTGAGCAACAGGAGAATATATTGTTTTTATCAAAACTGGATAATGTCTTATGAAATCATAGATCTAAACTTGTGGTTGCATAATTATTAAAATACTTATGTTAGACCAAACAATTAACTAAAGAGGATTATATTTTTCTGTTCCACAGATGAGCTGGTGAAGAGTTAATATACTGTCTTCAGAACTGTCTACTTGTTATAATTTTTGAGATATGAATGTTGAGATGTTTTAAAAAATGCAAAAAAAAAGCCACTCTGCATTCCTTTAGCTAAATTAATTTATAAATAACATTCTTACTGTATTAATAGTGTTGCAGCAATCTGCAGTGCTCCATGAATCAGATATTTTAAAAGTTTTACCTTTTTCTGCATAGTATTTTATGTTCAATGACAACTACCAGAAAAGTAAAGACAAGGTAATTGCCACAATATAGAAAAAATGGTCCCTTTACTTTCTTCTGGCTCCCTATATGTTGCAAGCAAAGGACACTTGCTGGATTTGTTTCATATTTTTTAAAATATATATTTTAAAATGTTTCATATTTTAGAAAAAAATACAAAAAAAAGGAAGAAAGTAGAAAAAGGGGAGAAATGAGAAAATGAGAAAAAATGAGGTTTAATGAGAAAAATGTTGATGTGGCATTATAGAACATTCTGTTTTCTATAAAATAGAAAAAAAATGCTTTTTAATGTGCTTGGAGATCTATTCCTCATCTTGGAGATGAGGAATTAGATTATTTCCCTTTTTATATAAAAGGAGACAATGCTATAATGTTAGGATTTATAATCAGTCCATTTCACCACGTGATTAACTCCACTTCCTTCTATATCCCTCGCCTTCTCTAGCTCTTTTGATCAATTCATATATTACTGAACTATTTTTATGTAAGAGAAGTGGACAAGAAATTATCATTAACTTTACAAACGTGCTTACTATCTGTTCTAGTCTCCTTTCCTTCTAGCATACATATTGAACCAGTAAAAGAAGTGTTCTCTAAGATGTGATAATAACTCAGACAAGCAGTTTTGCCAGGAAGTCATGTTCTCATTATATTAAATATAAGAGACTGAAAATTACTTTTAGCTGAAATTAAGTAATTCTGATTTTGTATTAATAGAATCTGTAGCTATACTTTCTGGTAAGTAGATGGCTTTGTCCTTTGTGCTGAAGAGGCTGGCAAGAAGTGTAAGTGCAGTGGAGCTTTATACATTATGAACAAGAATGAAGTTTGTTTCTTTTTTATTTTCCTCTGAAAAAAACTACCTTTTAGGATACCTTGTTTATTATACAATTTTCAGTAGTTGAAACCTGAAGTTTTTAATCCTATTTCTAAATTAGTATCTCTAAGATACATGACATTCTCTATTTAAATAGATCCATATTTATTTAACTAAAATGGGTTTGATTTTTTATTTTATTTTTGAAGTGGCATGAGCTTTGTAGTATTTGGTGAATATGAAGTGAAGGGTAAAGGGCGTTTTTATTTTCATACATGTTATTCTTTTCCATTTTCAGAGAGAATAAACCCAGGAAAAATACTCAGAAACAGTCTGTAGTTACTATGATTTTTGTGTGACAGACAAATTCAGTACATTAATAATGACTATAGTTATATATTGAGATTTTTTTCTGCCTATGTGAATTGTTTCATATTGAAAGAACACTGTATAAAATGTTTTGAAAGGATATTGCTGAGCTCTTTTAAAAAACCCATAATAAACTATTTATATTGTACTTTTATTGTATGCTTTTTTTTCAAACCAGAGTTTTGAAACTACTTAACATTCATTATGCAGAAAAGACTGCATATCAAAATAACCAACTTTGTATGTTAGAACAATAGTTTTATTTCAGATATTTTTTATTATAAAGTATAAATATGTTTAAACATAATGAGATCTTTCTCAAGGAGTTACAGTCATTTAAAAATGCTATGTTTGAGAGCAATGTTTAGAGAACACTTTTTGTTTTGAAAATATCAGTAAATGAAGGGGAGGTAATACAGAAAGATACTTTTGAGGGATGAATAGACATTTGTGCAAAGTGTTACTATCTGATTAATTTGCAAAGCAATGAAATCTTTGGGCTTGGATTTCAGAAGGGCAGTAAGAGCCACTCTGTTTATCTGGCTCTCTATCCCTTTATGAAAAGTTTTGTGTCAGTATAAATTCATGATTTTAAGGGGTTAATTGCAGACATTAGCTAGAAAGGGGTAAAATCGTTTCTAAGAGTCAGGAGAAAAAACTCTGAAGTTGAAATCCTGTGTCCTTTGCAGTTAACAGTAAAATTCACTGGGACTGCCATACTAACTGATCACATCATCCATTTTCTACCTAGGAAATGTGGCTATGGATGTTTTTAAAATGTTTATGCTGTGCTGTCATTGCAATGTGTCACAAATGAGTGCTTTAGGTTGCTCAAAGAATCACTGGCAAAGGTATCTTTAAAAGCAGGTTTAATGTAAAAGTGAAGGCACGACGAAGTTGGTTGGCAAAGTTCACTCTACTACTTATTAGATGGTTAAAGCACATGGAGAAAAATCAGACTAAAATGTAAAATAAATCAATTTACAACTAAAATCAACCTAAAATGATCTGTGTGGAGGCTGGGGATGGAAAAAGGGTAAGGATGGGAAAGAGTAAGGATGAAAGGAATAAGGGAGACCCTCCAGTTGAGGGTCTTCACAAGGTTCAGAGGGCACCCCCTTGCCAAACTTTCTCCTGGATTTGACCCATGGGGCGGCAGTTGTACTCCCGCACAACGTTGGCAGAAAATCAAAACTTACATATGTGTTCCTATATATGTCTACAGAAAAATTCAAAAAGGAAAAAAAACAATGATAAACCACAGAAAAACTGTTTAATCACTTTTGTAGCTGCTTCTCATTGAGTGCTGGGTTTCTCACTTGGCTGTGATCTGCTCTACTTCACCCAGAGCCAACAAGAAAAGTTAGTGAGGCAAATTGAAGATAGACACAAAAGAAACTTAACTGAAGTTAATGAGACCCTAGGCTGGATCTAATGTTTAGTTTTCCTGGCTGCCTTCTAGTATAAATATAAAACTCTCAAAGTCATAATCTTGCAATAGTAGCTCATTTGAGTAACACTTTTCTAAGTACAGTTGAATGACTCTTAAATCAATAAAGACTATGGATTCAGCCTGTCTAATGGCCCCTTGTAATAATGTTGAAAATGCCTAGATCTCCTAAATAACTAAAGTGGTCACGGTTCATACTTCTAGCGCAAGGTTTTGTGGATTTTTAAAGTGCAAGTTTTAACTTAATAGCCCAGTTTTATGGTCTGATGGCTGTGAACAAGATGTGTCTGAGAGGCAGTTATCGTAAGGAAAATTGAAATTACAAAAGTGACTATGCTCTCATGTAATGTACTTTATCCAGGTTAAGCAAATTAACTGTACTTTTGTACTTTTTCATGTAATGACTAGTTCTGTCAAGCAGCTTTTAAACGGCATGTTTTTAGCATCTGTTAAAAAGGTGAATATTCAAAGTCCGTGCAAATGAAGGAGAAATCAGTCTTATGCCAACAAAATCACTCATAAGTGATCATATCCCTGTTCAGAAACTAGTGTTCTAACATAAAAGTGTCATTATATCTGTCCTGAGTTATCACAGGTCTCTGAATGCTGTTTACTTCTGTTCTCTGCCATTCCAGTTCCTGTCTGCTTCCAGGATATCCTAATGTGTGACTTGATTCTTTTATGCATCTGACATGATTTGGATATGTTGCTGAAATCTTTCCTCATCACTGGAATCCTTCCAGTGTCCCTGGTGCTGAACTGTATGGATCTGTGAAATCCCATATGTCACTTCTAGTCTAAGAGTCATGGAGGTGGTTGTTGCACGTGTGCTGCCTTGGCTGAGGATGTGAGTGCATGAAGATGCAAGAAGCTGGCCGGTGATGATGTAGACTGTGGCCTGTCATTCTCCACTGAAAGTCGTCTGGGTGTGTAGGGTAGTAAGAGCATATGGATGTGGTGACTGTCCAGCTTTGCCCATGGCACTTGAATGTCCCTTGCTGGCAAAGTGAAGGAAGGGAAACAGAGAATTACGGGGCCGCTGCTATATGAAAAAGTAAAAAACTGTTCCTAAGCATGGTGTCTCCCATTTGTACTGCTAATGCACTGCACTCATGTTCTATTGACATAAAGGAAAACATTATCTTTCTGGCATACAAATTTGCATTATTTTATTTGTGCATTTTTTTAGGGTATAAATTTTAATCCTTAAGTATGTGTTTGCAAAAGGAGCTGGCTGAGCTACCGAAAATCAGATGATTTCCTTCCTCAGTTTCCACTTTATTTTAATTCTCATATGATCCTGAAAATACATCAGAGAGATTCCTGTTAGTGACCAGGCCAACTAAATTAAGTAGAAATCTGCTAAGCCATCTAGACACCTCAAATGCACCAGGCAATTTGAGGATAATTTTTAAGATCAAAACATGTTAGGATTTTTTCATGACACTGAGAGCAACCTTGGATTAGTATCTTGGCAACCTTATTTGCCATAGTGTACTTTATCTCATATTTAGACTCTAGGTCTTAATAATAGCAGGTACTTGGGTAGAGAGAGTATCTTTGTAAGAATTCCCTCAGGCATTGAATAGCATGTCTGATGCTAGTGCAATTAGTGGAGGAAAAATGTCCATTTGCCAATAAGCTAAAATGATTTGTTGTGTATTATTATAGTTTATATCATAGTAGAAGGGTTTTTTTCAGTAAGAGGAATTATTAAAAATCATTAAATTATTTTTCAGTGTTACACCGTTGTGACTTTGCTGTCTTCAGTAGGATTCTGTTTTATTGCCATTTTATCCTCTCTTAAAATCCTGACATGCTAATGGAAATGTTTACCAAAAACCTAGAAAATATGGAGAAAAGCAAGGATGAAAGCTTTGGGAGACTGGAGCTAGCTCTTAGCATCTTAGAATTGCTCTGCCTCCGATTAAGTTTTATGTTGCATATTAGATGCACTTCAGTTTTGTCTGCAATCTATTTTTTTTCTTTATTGTGAGAAAAGATATGTGATCAAGGATCTACTTTTACAATGATGCTGCAAATAGACCCAAATTTCTATAACACTTCTCATGCCAGCACTAGCAGAAAGGAAATTATTTGCCTTATAATCTCATTTCAGTGATGAAGGCCCCATGTTCCTCCATCAAACAGATTTATTTCGTATTAATTTTTTTCCACATAGAAACTTTATCATATAAAAGCCTCTCATAGGATTTCTAGCAAATATTTCTAGACTTTTTCTGGCCATTGGTCCCTTAACTTCTAACTGTGGTTCTGCCTCAGTTGGTAGGAACCTAGCTAAAATTCTCTGAAAAGAATTAGAATAGCCCAGAGTCTGCTGTGACTTGAGCTGTTACCCAAATGTGAGCCCAGCAACAGAAAGCTCAGAATGACACAAAGTCTCCTATTTCACCATTTCCTTCACTAGACACACTGCTGCTATTCTGGGATATCAAAGCATCTGGGTTGCTGAATTAACCATATTTTTCTCTAGTCATGAGCTCAGAATATCCATTGAAGTTACTGTAAGTTTTGCACAAAAATCAAGGGCAGTACATTGGCCAGAATGTGTGCTAAATAAATATTTATACACAAATCAGAATGCTACTGATGGCTTCTTTACACTTTAAAATTCTAAATATTTTAAGAAGCATCTGTTGCTAAACTGAGGCATAATTTTTGAAAGTACCCATATTTACTGAGTGGAAGTACACATATTTAGTGAGATGAACACGGTGACAAAAGCCTTGGACTAGAAGAATACACATAAATAAAATAGTTAAAGGAACATTACATAATTGAATTAAAGCTATAAAGAACAGGCTGAACATTTAGTTTCTATGAATATTAACTGATATGAGGGATAAGCTATAATCAAAGGAATAACCCCTTGTCATTGTGCCTAAGCTTTTTACATGTTGAAGGATTACTCTGATATTTTTTGAGAAGCTGTTCCAAATTTTATTTACCTGAAAGCAGGTTTAAATCAATATATTTCTTCTACAGTATCAACAGGTAAGAGACACAGGAGATTTCAGATCTTTTTTTGCTTAATGTACATAATATTTTGTTTCTATGCCATTCATCCCCTCATCCCTTTCAAAAACTTACATAACATTGCAAGGAATGTTTCAAAATGTTGCATATTCATTGCATAGCCATTTTCCTCCTTTGGTTAGAAGAAAACCTGTATGTGCAAGTTTGTATATATACATGATGAGACCTGTAATTCTCATGTGTGGAGATTTCTGTTTCAGAGCTTTTCAGAGGGATGCCTCTTGAAAAACCTCATCTTTATGTGTAAAAGTCAACAAGCTAAGATAAAAGCTGATTTTAAAGTGATACATTCTCCTAAACTTGAGAGCCTTGCTTCACAGAAAGCCTCAACAGGCTTGATCATGCATGGGAGCTTTAGGCCTAGCTTGAAATTGTACAGATGAACCAGCAGGAAAACAACCCATGGATGGCAGAGCGTGGAGCAGTACAACAATGCTATCAGTGAGCTGCTTTTCTGTTCACCAGAGTGGTGTTAGCTATGATGGAACAGTCTCCACCCTGGAAAGGAGGTTTCAATATTTTCAATTCCACCTTATGTAAGGGGAACCTCTGTCACTTCTGCTCCACTGGCCACCAGGACAGGTGGCAGTAGAGTTATGATAGCCACCCCATTGCTCCAGATCAAAGAGCCAGGAGTAGCTGCTGTGCTGCAGTGACCAGGCTGAGGCACATGGGGAATCATCTGTCCCTAACACAATGCTTGCTTGGAGGAGAACAAGTCAGTTGTCCATCAGACAAGATGGTGGTTCATAATTTTCAAGGAATCTGGTGACTGGACTGGGTAAGGTAATTCCATTTGGCACCCTGACTGCAATGCTGGTATTTGTCACCTGCTTTGGAATAAAACTTTTACAGCAAAATTTACATAGGTGCAAGATGGTATCCATAACGAGTCCACATCTCAGTGCAGGGTTTATT